ACAATGCTGCTCTCAGAAGATACAGGTTATGAAATGAAAATCTCAGTTCACGGACTGGGTTATCTCCCTATGTCATTGGTCAGGTAGGCAAAAACAACACAGGCTATTGTCATTGCTCTTGGCTATTCACCATAACTAGATGAAAAGATTCTATTGCCAAAACACCACAGACTAATTACAGGATAGAGAAACGATCTGGAACTGATAGAGAAACTTCCTTGCTGGCTAGCTTTCATCCAGGAGAGGTGCTACACAGGCAGCTGGGGAATAAAAGACATCAGTGTTCATATCCAGTATGGGCCTTGCATGCTACAACACCAACCTGAACAAGCAAGATGTGCCCACTTACCACAATGACATGGCTGTTACAGAAGTAAGTAACTACTTTGTAGTTGAATTTAAAGGTCTGTGCCACAGGAGGTAATTCATGTCTGGTTCTGTCAACTTGGTCAGAGAAGGTCACAGATTAAAGGTAGGAGTGGGAGGTCAAGGGGTAGTTCTACTATGCGACTTTGCTAAATGCTCATGCTGTCAAACTGCCTTCTAAATGTTTATGTTTAGGTCCATAGATTTGTTACACTCTCAACTTTGGTCTGAGAAGCTTCTTTCTGCAGTGGGCAGAAGTTAATAATACAGAGACTAGCTGTTGTGGAATATTAGTGTTACATTTGTTTAATAATGCAAAGACATGTTGCATTCTTTTCTGTTGCATTTGTTTAACTCTGTGAAGCTGTGTTACTCTACCTGTAATAACACCTGATTGGTCTAATAAAGAGCTGGATAGCCAATAGCTTGGCAGGAGAAAGGATAGGCGGGGCTGGCAGGCAGAGAATAAATGGGAGAAGAAATCTGAAAAAGAGGAAGGAGTGAGAGAAGGAGGATTCAAGAGGTCAGCCACCCAGCTACACAGCCAGCCAAGGAGTAAGAAGATAAGTATACAGAAATAGTGTAAGATAAAAGCCCAGAGGCAAAAGGTAGATGGGATAATTTAAGTTAAGAAAAGCTGGCAAGAAACAAACCAAGCTAAGGCCAGGCATTCCTAAGTAAGAGTGACTCCATGTGGGGGGGGGGGTGAGAAAAGAGTAAAAAAACAAAAACAAACAACTACAACTACAACTAGTAACTGATCATCAAAGCGACTGTAAGCTTCAGCCCTAAATATATTAACTCCCCACTCCTATCCTTGCCTCAGTCAACATCCCAGAAATGATGCAAAGAATTTAAGAGCCAGAAGTTGGGGAAGAATGCCAGAAAATGTTTGTTTTGTGGACAAGATCCGGCCGTTGTACCAGTAAATTCACAGCAGAGTGGTTACCAGCACAAGATTTAAACAAGTCAGCCAGCATTTCAGCAGAGATGGGAGAGGGGACTTATGCTCCATCCTTAGCTGAAGATCTACTGGCAACTGGTGAATACTGGGGGAGGGAGGAGTCCTTTTTCTTTCAGAATGCAGCCGGTGGTAGGTTGCCCAGAGTCTGGTGGATGGCCCTACACCCTTGTGTACATATGGACACACTAGCTGGACTATGTCAAAGAAGGGAAGGAGGAGAAAGGACGAGAAAGAGACGGGAAGGGTTAAAGGGAGCTTCAGGGAGGAGTGCAAGATAGCAATGTTCAAAAACATGTATGCAAAAATGAAATTCTCAAGGAATAAACAAAATACTGGTTAAAAAGAAAGGAACCAGCAAGGTGTGGTGGTGCACACATTTAATCCCAGCACTTGGGATGCAGAGGCAGAAGGATCTTTGTGAGTTCAAGGACAGCCTGGTCTACAGCTAGGTCAGTTAGGGTGACAGTTAAGACCCTGTCTCAAAAGAAAAGCATGAAACCAGGTATTTCAATATTCACCACCTCACCTGAGCATCCACGGAAACAACAAAACTCATTACAAAGCAAATGGCAGCTGTACAACCTTGGAAGACCTGTACTGTGATCATCACAAAGGGAAACTTTTCAGGTATTTCCTTTGTTGTCAAAACAAAACAGCAAGATGGGTCATCTATTTCAGGATACACCCAAGAATTTATTTACACACACACCATGGCTGTGATCCTCAGGGAAATCTCTTTACTGTGTGCCTCCATTTCCCTACTAAAATAAGCAATATAGCCTTGTTATGGAACTTTTGGGAATTTAACCTAAAAATTAGAAAAAAAATCATCTTACTTTCACCAATATAAATGTGAATCCCTCAGCTCTTGCACACACATTCATAAACACTCACACAGACCCAAAGTTACCCCTTAAGACACAGCTAAAAGCATGCAAAATTAATCGGCAGGAGTACCTTGATTAATTCCAACAAGATAAAGTTTCAGAGGGGAAATCATCACTGTTACTTAACCTATAACTTAAAAACACATTTTATACTAAGTAATTCTAAAAATAATGCATATGAACAAATAAATTCTTTTCTTATCAGGGGTCATCAAAAGTTAGCCATTCTGCTTATTTCTTCGTAGGACAGTACTTATTTCAAACAGCACTTTAGAATCTTCGGAGAAATTTCACAAAATAAGAAACTATTCTTTTTTAAAAGAACATTAGCTGAGCAGTGGTGGCGCACGCCTTTAATCCCAGCACTCGGGAGGCAGAACCAGGCAAATCTCTGCGAGTTCGAGTCCAGCCTGGTTTACAAAGACGGGTTCCAGGAAAGGTACAAAGCTACACAGAGAAACCCTGTCTCGAAAAACAAAACAAAAGAACATTATTCATTTCTTTCTACTGGGGAGTATGCCACATAAAAAAGCTAGAGGAACCTGTAGGTGTCTTCTCCTGTCACGCGAGTCCTAAGGTTCAAACTATCAGTCATCAGGCTTGGCTGAAGAACCTCTACCCACTAACCTGTCTCACAAGGCTGAAACTACTCTCTAATACGGATTACTGGGCTATTTCTAACAAACTTACATTATTTAAACAATTTCTCTTAAGTATGTCAGGTTTTCATTACCAATCACTATTGCTGGGTCTTTTAGAAAGATTTCAGAATACTTTGAAAACTAACGAACTCACATAAAAGCAATCATTTACCCCATTTAGCCCTATATTCCCACCCCTTTTTTGCATCTGATTTAATAGCAATTTAACACTTACAGAAGGTGGAAATGATTTCATTCTCATGCAAAATATTTCCAAGTTAGCTTTTTGCTGACAACTTCCACTTTAAAATAGCAATGACAGGGTGACTTCAGTGAGGAACCTGAACCCCAGACTGAAAAGCCTATATGCATTACCCTTTGCTTTCTAGATTAAACACAGTAATTGGAACTGATTTTGAAGTTTCTCTTTAAACCAATATAGTGGCACACAGCCATAATTCCAGGACTTAGAAAGTAGAGCCAGAAGACCCAAGGTCAAATTCTCTGCCAAATTCATTGTTGGCCTAGGCTGTATGACACACTATCTTAAACAAATAAACAAACAAAAAAAAAAAAGCTTTAAGAGCAGAGAATGTCTAATGTCTTAAGTAATAAAAGTAACACATTTTGGATGATCTAACACAAAAAGGCAAGGGGGAAATTGAAAAGATACGCCAGAAGTACTATGGTCATTCTGTTTCTAACTTGATAGTTTTGTTTGTAAAAAAAAGGAAGCAAGTCCATTTCACCTCTAAGTATTTAAAGATAATTATGGTCAAGTTTTTAGCTGTTTGAAATTAGAACAATGGGCTGCGGATGTGGTTCAGTTGGCACACTGCTTGCCTAGCATTATAAAGTCCTAGGTTCAATCCCCAGCAAAACTAAAACTGGGCATGGTGGTATAGGCCCATAATCCCAGCACCCCCGAAGAGGAGGCAAGGTTATCAGAAGTTCAAAGCCGTCCTTGGATAAATTTAAGGCCAGTCTGAGCTACCTGACACCCTGCCTCAAAACAAAACCAGAAACAGAAAACTGATTCAGCCTCCCTTCCCACCAAGATCACTCTCTGTCAGGCAAAGGTTCTAGAGTCTTTTCTTACTTTCTTCCAACCAAGGAAAAAAAAGAGATTAAATTTAAAAAGAAATAAAAGGAGACATTTAGTGTTTGTGCATCTTCTATTCAGACACTATTAATCATTTCTTTTAAAATTAAATTACCTACCTCACGGGGGTGTTGTGAGGATTAATTCATTAGTGTTTCTAAAGCACTTTGAGATCCTCAGGTCAAAGGCGCTATAGAAGTGCAAAGTAGTAGTATTATTACTAGAGTCTTTGCTTATTTAAGGAATTTCACAATCCTTTCAAACCTTACCCTGTGTTTTGATTTAGACATTTATCAATATTAACTTCTTTTGAGTATGTTATAGACAGACAGGCAGGGATAGATGTCTCAAAGCCAACTAACTGTCTTAGAAGTTACACCTTGACCTAAAATGACTGCAGCAAGCTTGGAAATAGCCAGGATGGCAAACTGCATCCATACAAAATTTTTATGAGAAATCCTGTCAAATCAGATTTACAAGTGTGTTTAAGTTGTAAGAAAAACAAAACTGAAATATACTTAACCACAGACTCTGTATTAAAAATGTAATTCATAAAAGAGGAAAGGAAACAGCATCCAACTTATTTTAAAAGCTAGCACTGTGTCATACATTAATTCCATGCACACGTGTGCAAGTGCAACACAGACATCTACGGCCTAGCAACAGCTTTTGTATAAACTGACAGTAAAAAAACGTGCTGATTTTCTTCCAGTCAACCTCACCCTCAATTACAGCAGCTAAGCCTTGAGAGAAAGTCAACTTATCACTGAGGGTAAAGGCTTCAAATCTGGTTAAATCTTGGATTAATCAACTAATTGCTACCCTCTTCTCTAACCAAAGGTTTGTACAATTAAAATGGGTTTTCAAATAAAAACAACAAAGGCATACATTCACACACAAAAAGCTAAGGAAACCATGAGTTATCTGCATACAGAATATTTACTCAGGGTTTTAAAGCTTCACCACCCTGAGGGATTTCTACAGCACAAATTCCAGTTTCAATATCAAACTGAAAAAGAGACACAACTTTCACCACTTACCTCCTGCTCTTGTTGAAAGATGACAACTCTCCCACCTTTATCTCCTGTTGCTAGTAATTCTCCAGAATGATTAAACTCTACTGTAGAAATTATATCTGCTGTATAATTGAAACAGAAACAAAAAGACATCAGTTTTTGTCCCCCAATTCACTTAGGGTGTTCCTAACAACACTCTAGATCTAGGCATCACTCTGGCATCAGAAACAAAGAGATTCGAGGTCCTTTTGTGAACACTTTCATTGGGGGGGGGGGATTCCCCCAAATAAACCAAAACCAAACCATTCTACCAATCAGGAACATAATAATAAATGCCAGACTTGTAAATATTTCTCTTTATTTGTGAATGCAGAGAAATGCACCACATATCTGTGGGATCTTGTTTTGTTTGTCAGGTTTATTATCACCACGAGTATGTGTGACTTGCAGGGGAATGAACATGCCAACGCATGCATGTGGAGATCAGAGGACAACTCTGTGGCACAGGCTTCCTTCCATCTGCACACAGGTTCCAGGAACTGGATTTAGGTGTCCAGGCTTGCTCTAGGAGCACTTTCCCACTGAGCCATCTTGAAAGCCCAGGGAGGGTTTTTTGGAAAGAGTCACTTGCAGCCTGATAACTTATTTTCCTTCCTGCACTTCTTGAAGTATTTGGTGATAACACCATTGAACAGTGATCATTTTGTGAATTTTCTAACTTAAATACTGTTTGTTGGTTTGGTTTTTCAAGATTAGCTGAGTAGCTCCAGCTGGCCTCACACTTGCTATCCTACTCTGAGCTTCCTGAGCACTGGAGTTACTACAGACAAATGCCACCACACGTGGCTTTATTCAGACTGCTGAGGAGCACGATGACATTTTTTCTTCTGTTATGTTGGAGGGGTTTACTATGGATCAACTCTCAAGACTCAAGTACTCTAAGCAAGTGCCCTTCTCTGCTGCTAGACTCTGCAAAGAAGTAATTGGAAGGAAATCAACCACTGCAGACATAAGATTTCTGAAACGGAAGAAGGCTGCACATATTTTAAATACCCAATAAATAAGAGATTCAAAGGCACTTCTAGTCCCAGAGTGGAAACTATGGCCCACCAATGTCTTTATAAGCACATTTAATGACCGGAGCCCAGTACTAAATACTAAAATCTAAAGCTGTTTAGCATCAAGCCATTTTCAGAGAATGTCTGACAACTCTAGTTCTTGTGTAAGAACTGGATACTTATTAACATTAACAAAACAAGCACAACTTATTTATACAAAATAACACCAAAACGTATTAACAGACACAGATACATGAAACTGCAATGTGCCAAGTGAGCATTGAATGATGTTCATTTCCTATTCATAGCATTACTGTATCGTTTCTCATTTTCCATGTCTAGAAGAACAAAGGGAAACTCTAGAGATCAGGTATGTTAGGGAGTGGTGCTACATATAAGTATCAAGTGTCAAAGCCAGGATTCAAATTCAGCAGCCATATGGTTACAGTAGCAGTTCAGGATTCTGTAAATCATGGAATAAATGTAAAGGAATACTGTCTAAGTATTTATAGTTTGTTGCCCCCACCCCCAAAGCTCCTGTATTCACCAAAGCACCTAGAACCAAACAAACCAACTTCAAGACCTTAGTAATGACTAAGTGATAACTAAGCACTTAATTCAGGACCTGCTACAGTCAAGGTACTGAGGATACTGAGTGATTACACGTTCTAAATTCCACCTCTGCAAGAAAGGAGAACACAAGAATGTATTCATAAGGAAGAAAACACAGGCAGGCAGGCAGGCAGGCAGGCAGGCAGGCACCCACCCCTGCTGGGGATGATTGATTGATAAATAAAACGCTGATTGGCCAGTAGCCAGGCAGGAAGTATAGGCGGGACAAAGAGAGAAGAAAAGTCTGGGAAGTAAAAGGCTGAGAGGAGGAAACGCCAGCCTGCCGTCCAGAGAGCAGCATGTAAAGGCAGCAGGTAAAGCCACGGAACACACGGTGACACATAGATTAACAGAAACGGGCTGAGTTTAAGTGTAAGAGCTAGACAGTGGTAGGCTAATGGCCGAGCAGTTTAATTAATATGAGCTTCTGAATGATTATTTTATAAGCAGTTGTAGGATCCGTGGGACTGGGCAGGACTCGAGAAAACTCCAGCTACACACCCCCACACCAAAGAATTAGAAGGATGACTCAGTGGGTCAAATGCCTGTCTAAATGAGCTCTAGGTTCAGTGAGAAAATCCCATCTCAAAAATAAGGCAGAGTGACAAGGCTATCAACATTGACCTCTGGCTTACACATGCACATGCCACATACATGCCACACACCACATACATGTACACGTACATGTGTACAAACACACACACACACACACACAGCCACACACACACAGCCACGCATAGTAGAACAGTTTATAACCCAGGGCTCAGAAGGTAAAAAGCAGGAGGACTGTCCTGTTTAAAATCAGCTTGGTCTACCATAGGGAGCTCTAGGCTAGCAAAAGTTACACAGCTACCCTATTAAAAGTAATAAAGAAAGCCAACGGAGAAAGATAAAAGACAAAATTAATCCTAGCACATAAAGATCAAATAAATATGTAGAGATGCCTCTTCATTTTAACCTTATACAGGACTGAGTGTAGCTCAGAGGTAGAGAATATTCTTAGCACACAGGAGCCTGTTTCACTCCCAGAAACAACAGGTAAAAAGTACAGAAAGCCAGGCAGTGATGGCACACGCCTTAATCCCAGCACTCAGGAGGCAGAGGCAGGTGGATCTGAGTTTGAGGCCAGCCTGGTCTACAGAGTAAGTTCCAGAACAGCCAGGGCTACAGAGAAAAAAACCCTGTCTTGAAAAAAATTAAAAAATAAATAAATAAATAAATAAATAGCCAGGTGGTGGTGGCGTGCGCCACCCCAGCACTCGGGAGGCAGAAGTAGGTGGATCTCTGTGAGTTCGAGGCCAGCCTGGGCTACAGAGTGAGTTCCAGGAAAGGCGCCAAAGCTATACAGAGAAACCCTGTCTCGAAGAGGGAGGGAGGGAGGGAGGGAGGGAGGGAGGGAGGGAGGACAAATAAGGGGAAGACGACTCATCTTGGATAAATTGCTGAAGTGTGTCTAACCATCTGGGTTGTAGGGTCTGGCAAGCTGCACTTCAAAATACAAAATAAAGGCCAAGCTCATGCTGAGCCATGTTTTCAAATGCTATGCATGTATGTTCAAATGTCATAAAATTCAAGGGAAGATAAATTTTAATCCTACTTCAGAGAACTACTATTATTTTAGTATCTCAGCAAAGAATATTGTGTGACTGCACGAGCTCAGTACCAAAAGGCAAGTATGTATCCTAAAGCTGCTTATAATACCAATTTCCTAAACGTTACAAAGTAGGTGTGATGCTGTTTGGACAAAATAAAGACGATCGATCAGGAAACCGGAAACCAATGACCAGAGCTTAGACAGGGAGGCAGGTAACAGATATGAAGACTATTACTGTATCCTTTCCCATAGAAAGGCCAGAATACCTCTACACACTATTCCCATGACCAAACGGTCAGCACTTACATACTGCACAGGAACGCAACACTGCAAACCCACAGGGGTGCATCTCTTCAGCACTGTGATGGTGAGTCTGTAGTGTCAACCTGACCAAATTTGGAAACCTCTAGGAAACATACCTCCCAATGTCTGTGTTTTCAGATTAGTATAGCTGAGGAAGCAAAACCCACAGGTGGCAATCATCTCAGAGACTGTGGTCCCACACTGAATAAAACCAGGGGAAGGGCAATGTGGAGCGTGGACAGCCACCATTGCCTTCCCCAGCATGAGACTATATCTCCTCAAACCATGAGCCAAATCAAACTCTTTATCACCCCTAAATTGCTTGTCAGCTATGAGAAAACTAATACAAATGCCTAAGGTTAAAATTGTTATCATGCACTGGGTACTTATCCAAGCAAAATGAAAACTAAAAAAAACCCCGGGACATCCGTGCTCAGAGGCTTTGTGATCACTGAAAACTGGACACAACACAATGACCTTAGCCAGGGTAGGTTTACACCCAGACATAAAATGTCACTAATCAGCAAGAAAGCACTACTGATAGAAGTAACAGCATGGACACATCTCAGAATGCACTGGGCTAGTGAACAAAGCTAGATGCTAATGGCACAGCAGAGGCTGAACTAACAACAGAGGAACAGTTGAGTGCTAGGGTCAGGGATGGGAGACACACTACAGGGCCTGGAGCTTTTGGAGTGACTCAACTACATGGTGTATGGTGACTGTGACTGATTTTCTCAAAGCTTGAAGTACTGTGTAACTAAAAGGTTAAGTTCACCATGTGAAAACAAGTTTGTCACAGGAAAGTAGCAAAATCCAAACACTAGAATCTTTTCCCAGGCATTCTATAATCCTAACCAGGCCTTTCACTTACTTAATTGTTACCAAGCTTTCTGGATTTAAAGCCTTCAAGGGTACATTAACGGATTACAGCATTCCCCAAGTACTACATGGCATTCAAAACTTTACATCACTCATGTTTTCAGTAATACATACAAATGCTCATTATCATCTGCCTCCCTAAAGGGCTATAACAACCAGAGCTAGCTAGCTGTCCGAACCTTGGCTACTAGGCTTTCTCACTGTCCTGAAAGCTTCCTCCTTCCTTTCGCCAATCTCAATGGCCCCCTGTGTAACAGTCCTGGAACTCACTTTGTAGACCAAACTGGCCTCAAAATCACTGAGATCCACCTGCCTCTCTCTGCTTCCCAAGTGCTGGGATTAAGGGGTAAGCCACCACCACCTGGCCATCAGACAGCTTTTAATGCAGAAAATTGAAGGCCCGAAAGAACCACAAATCTGCACAACTGCCTAGTTTTCCCTAGACCCATGGCCTTCTGCTGGAGAATCTGGAGTCCAACTACACTGATCTAGGGTCTCACACAACCTTCGTTAGCCTCTTGTAAGAGTTGACAACAAGGACCCAGATCCCACGGTTCACTTTCCACATGGTTATACTTGGGGACCATGGAGCCAGAACATGAACCCCGGAAAGACAAACTACATTCAAACTACCACAGGCTTTCCCTGGCTTTGCTACAGAAGAGCCTGCTGT